CTAGCTTAGCACAAAGACTGGAAGTAGAGGGAACCTGCTAGCCCAGTGACCTTCCACTCACTCCACAGGCCAGTCACAGCAATGTTTAAATGGCAGAATTTCCCAGTGAAGCCAGTTCATTTCGCTGGCATCGCCTCAGTGATTCACTCACAAATATGACATATATTCACACAAATATTTCACATGAGCTCAGCTTTGAACTATGACACATCTCTACCACTGGGCAGTAGGAACCTGCCATTAACATCCATCCTGTGGCCAGGTGGAGCTGGGCCAGCAGCTGTAGCTCGCTCTGAGCTAACAGGACGTGTGACTGTTGGCTTTGGACAGAAGATGGATCATTGGTGGTGCAGCTAGGTTGATAGTTTCACAGTTCTACAAAAAAGTGTATATTTGGACTCTGAATCTAGTTTGTGAATGTGAAACTTGCCCGTTAAAACAATTTGATTCACACACAGATTTATTATTTAATTTAAATGTAGTAATAATGTCTTTGGCTCCAGTTTTTACACATGGTGCTGTTTGGTTTAAGGTCAGCTTCTCTACATGTTTCCCACAATTGTTGAAAACGGGCAACTACAGAACAAATGTATGATTGTTTCTGGCTCAGTTTTACAACATTTGTCATCAGTGTCAGTACATTTGGAATTGAAAGGGGAACAGCCACACTTTGTGACAGTTTATATTCAACTGTGAATTTAACAAATGTCTCTTCAGGAGTAATTGTGTTACTTTTATTAAGTTCATTCCTTATATATTTGTTTGTGCACTTTATATATGTTGTTTCTATTCCCCAGTTTTTAAACTGCCCTCTTGTGTGATCATATTTTGATCACTTTCATTAACTCAGTTGTGCCTGTGGGAGTAGCATTTGCTAAACAAACAAGTTCATTATATGTCACTGGAAATGATGATCCTGGTGATTGTAAGTATTTCTGTAGCCATTTGATCTTAAAGGTATCATTTTAGACCTCCCGTCCTCCTCCTGCCCGCTCTAAACTGAACATGTCCTCCTTAAGGTAAAATTGGCTTGTTCACATTTATTAGCTTATGTATAAGCTGCATCATTAAGTGATGATGAGCAGATCTTGACACACCTGCTTTTGTTATCAGCACTCTTTCAAAACTGAAAGGTCTCTTTGAAGCCACATAATAAAAATTTACTTTAGTTTTTGTTTGAGTGAAAATGTAGCTGTTGTCTAAAGGCCATGTCCTTTGAAATATGGAAGAATTATCTTATAGCTACAGTTGCTAAGAGTGAACTTGGCTTCTAGTTTGTGGGGAGGCGACAGTGGTGTGGTAGAGCAGTGGTCTCCCAACCAGAAGGTTGAAGGTTCAAATCTTGGTGCCAGCAGTCCACGTGTTGAAGTGTCCTTGGGCAAGACACTGAAACCCCCCTGTTGCCCCCAATGGTTAGAGCCATTGATTGAGGTGGCGCCGCAGATGGCTGCCATTGGTTCTGTACCAGAAACAAATTCCTTGTGTGTAACATGCTTGGCCAATAAAGGTGATTATCCTTATCCTTAGTTTGCTGTGAATTGACAGTGATGAATAGGACACATTCACAGATGGGGTTTCAGCAGCCACAACAATCACTGGACCCCTGAATAGGCTCAGAACAGGTGTCCACATTTTAGCACAAAGCGGTTTCCCACCTCAGATTATTTTTAATCTTTGAAAAACAAACAAAGTTTAAAGCATACCTGACTTTTCTTCTGGAATGACCCTTTAATTTCTGGATTGGATGTTGGTATTGTTCTTACATAGCTGCACCTAATAACTGTGTGTGTGTGTGTGTGTGTGTGTGTGTGTTTTTGTCGCCACAGTTATGAACCAGAGCTGTTTCCAGGCCTCATCTACCGCATGGTGAAACCTCGTATCGTCCTGCTCATCTTTGTGTCTGGGAAGGTGGTTCTGACTGGTATAATACTCACATATCTACACCTATAGTCAAGAAACAGCAGCACGTTTCATTCACCAGTGAAGTCTTTTTTTAAAGAATACGTCAGATAATAACAAGCTCCTTATCTCATAACTGCGAGATCTGTTGTCTGTCTGTCCAGGCAGCATAGAAGCTGATGGGTTAGATTGCTGTAATAAATGCTAACAATGAGACAGTATATTGGTGTTTTATCTATAATTAACTTACACTAAGTAGCTCTCATAATTACAGAGCAGAGAGCCTTTAAACAAAAGGCTGATGTTTTCTTTTGAATTACAGAACTCATAATTTAGAAATAGCCTGAGATCCTGAAATACAGATGTCATAATTATAAGGTTATTTGTAATTAGCCTATAAAATAATTTTTCATAAGATTTTTTTTCTGTGATGTTTTCTCAGACTATTTTTTAAAAAGCTGTAATAGTTATTTAGCCCTGTGTTAAATTCCAGGAGCTAAAGAACGTGCTGAGATCTACGAAGCATTTGAGAACATTTATCCCATCCTGAGAGGCTTCAGAAAACAATGAGGACTCTTTGAGAGCACTTCATGTTCATCTCTACATAGAAGGAATAATATACGTTTGTGTAAATGATTTGACTGTTTGTTTTTGTGTGCGTTAAATATTTGACCATCCTGAATAAAAAAAATAAAGGGCCTTTTTCTAAATTGATGCACAGAAAACTTGTTAAATATAAACTGGTTTTGCTTTATCTTCTTCTGAATCAGACATTAGAATTACGCAATCTCAGACTTGAATAAAATCGACCCTGAGCACAAAACTAGGCAAGTTCTCACCTGACCCTGTAAATTTCAGTTTGGCTTAAACAGTGAAAACTTCGCCTTCACTTTATAAATAGCGAGGTTTTAGTTAACATTGTGACATTCAGTCATTTTCATGATAAGCTACCGATTTTCCACCAAGGTTTGTTTTACTCTAACTTATTTTTCTTTTTTTCTGGCCAAAATTGAGATTTTTTTTGTTTCTTTGACTCCGCCCACGCGCCTGCGTCATACAAACAAACCCGTCACGTGTTCAGAGGAAACCGGAAGTGGCGGACTCGTCTGCTCATCAAAACAAAAACATTTCACAGTCGATCTGTAACCTGACCGCTTTACAAATATGACAGTTATATGACGGAAAGTATGATACTAACAGATTTGCATGGAGCGATAGACAGCGCTGAGACAAGCAGCTAGTCGTTTGTAGCTTTAATATTTTCAAATTTAACGTTAGCTTAACATAGCCGTTAGCTTTCCCGCTCCATGGCGTCCTCAGCGGGACTCCCACCGATCGGCCCGAACCGAGCTGCTTCATCCTCCGCATCTCATTCCTGGGTAAGGTCATCTCTCCGGCCCCATCACCCCCATCCGGCTCACGTCTCCCCGGGATGTGTGATGATGGAGTCTGTGGACGACGCGGAGGGGCTGTACGTGGCGGTCGAGCGGTGTCCCCTGTGTAGCACCTCCCGCCGTAGGCTCACCTGTGCCCGGTGTGTCCAGGCCGGTGATTTCGTGTACTTCGACGGGAGGAACACGGAGAGGTAAAGTTAAGTAGGACCGATATCTTCCAGACTGAAGCTTGTGCTCTCTTTTCAGACTTGCCAAACCTCCATATTTATATATTTTAAGGTTTCCTTAAGTTTTACACAAACTCACTTAACCTGTCAAATTATACAATGTGTCGGCATAAAAGTTTGAACAATATTTTCAGTTTGACATGAATGTCACTACTCAAAGCAGCACTAATCCCACAAATCAACAATATTCTCCTTTCGGCTGTTCCCGTTAGGGGTCACCACAGCGAATCATTTGTTTCCACCTACAGTAACTCTATCCTCAGCATCCTCTACTCTCACCCCAGTTAACTTCATGTCCTCTTTTAGCACATCCATATATCTCCTCTTTGGCCTTCCTCTTGACCTCTTGCCTGGCAGCTCCATCTCCAACATCCTTCTACCAATATAACCACTATCCCTCCTCTGCACATGTCCAAACCATCTCAATCTGGCCTCTCTGACCTTGTCCCCTAAACAGCCGACCTGAGCTGTCCCTCTGATGTGCTCATTCCTAATCCTGTCCATCCTGGTCCCTCCTAAAGAGAACCTCAACATCCTCATCTCTGCTACCTCCATCTCTGCCTCTTGTCTTTTCCTCACTGCTACAGTCTCTAACCCATACAGCATAGCTGGTCTCACTACTGTCTTGTCCACCTTTCCTTTGATTCTTGCTGCCACTCTTCTGTCACACAACACTCCTGACACCTTTCTCCACCCACTCCAACCTGCCTGCACTCGCCTCTTCACCTCTTTCCTACACTCCCCGTCACAAATCAACAATATATTTTTTTTATTCTGTTCCATTCAAGTCACCACCGACCAAATGTTAGATGAAGGTAAAAGTGCAACTGACTGGTTTTACAGAAATAAAAAAGTCAACAGTTTGTTGAAAACATTCTTATAAAAATGTCATAAATTAGCCCCCATATATTTTCTTTATTCTGTGCAATACCTGTAAAAATACATTGTACAGATTATACAGATTCACACAGGTCTCTATTTTATTCCTATTTGTCTAATTTCAATGAGAATTGCTTTGTCTGTCTGCATTATTTACTGCGTGTTTATACTGTTTATTCTGCACTGTTTGTTGCTTGTTAATACAGTTTATTTTGTTATACTACACAGCCTTATGTTGGTTTACTTGCCCCTTGCATGGGGATATGTACATGCACATTGAGAGCTGATTTACCAGAGTCAAATTCGTCGTGTGTCCGACACACCTGGCCAATAAAGCTGATTCTGATAAATTCCCCTTTAAGTTGTCATTGTGCGTTTTTGACCATAGATGTTTCTCTTGCTTACGTAATACTCCATATTACTGATTGAGTTTCTTTTGGGCGAGATGAAAACACTTAGAAAAACCTAGTCCAGTTGATTTTTCTAAGTTTTTCCAGCTTACTCTGACCTGGATGACTGAGGATCTGCACGGACATGTCGCTACTTTGGTTTTGGTGCTTTTCGTGAGTTGCAGGGTAGACATGATGAAGGGTTTTCAGTTAACCAGTTAATTCATAAGCAGTCGGCCCACACCGTGTCATTTTTATCAGTTCGGACTAGTTAGCATTAGCAGCTAACTCTTGTGGGTTAGCTGCTAATGACCAACAGTGGCTGTTCGGAGCTAGTGCTAGCAGTCAGCTCGCCAGCTCTTTTGTTGTGTTTTGTGTGTAGGCTGCCGTTTAACACCCGAGGCTCTGACACATGCGCGGTAGCTCATAAAGCAATTGTTTCAAACCACTGTGCCACTGTGCGAAGGCGTGTGTCGGTCACGTGACTATGCTTATCCAAGCATTTCCTGTGTACCCCAGCCTCATCTGTGCCATGTGAACAGGTTTTTTTCCAAGGCTGTGGAAATAATAATAATGCTAATAATAAAGCTCTATGTACAGTGGGTACGGAAAGTATTCAGACCCCCTTAAATGTTTCACTCTTTGTTATATTGCAGCCATATGCTAAAATCATTTAAGTTCATTTTTTTCCTCATTAATGTACACACAGCACCCCATATTGACAGAAAAACACTGAATGTTTGACATTTTTGCAGATTTATTAAAAAAGAAAAACTGAAATATCACATGGTCATAAGTATTCAGACCCTTTGCTGTGACACTCATATATTTAACTTAGGTACTGTCCATTTCTTCTGATCATCCCTGAGATGGTTCTACACCTTCATTTGAGTCCAACTGTGTTTGATTATACTGATTGGATGTGATTAGGAAAGCCACACACCTGCCCATATAAGACCCTACAGCTCACAGTGCATGTCAGAGCAAATGAGAATCATGAGGTCAAAGGAACTGCCTGAAGAGCTCAGAGACAGAATTGTGGCAAGGCACAGATCTGGCCAAGGTTACAAAAAAAATATTTCTGCTGCACTTAAGGTGCCTAAGAGCACAGTGGCCTCCATAATCCTTAAATGGAAGACGTTTAAGACGACCAGACCCTTTCCTAGAGCTGGCCGTCCAGCCAAACTGAGCTATCGGGGGAGAAGAGCCTTGGTGAGAGAGGTACAGAAGAACCCAAAGATGACTGTGACTGAGCTCCAGAGATGCAGTC